GCGTTACCAGCCCCGGCGTGGAGGAGCTGAAGCTGGAAAACCACCACGTCCAAAGCTGTGAGGAGAAAGTGAGCGCAGGTGAGTGCAGGCAGCAGGGGCCCAGCAGCCTGTGAGGGGCTCTGCTGGTTCCTAGAAGTTCCAGAGCTGGGGTGGAGCCAGGAGGTTCCCTGGAAGTGTGATCAATTCTCCAGCAGCTTCTTGGAAAGTCAGAGTAGGCTCAGTGGTACAGGGTAACCAGGGTCTGGCAGTTGTTTGATCCTGTTGTGGGCCCCAGCAATGTGACTTTTGCAGTTTTTAGGTGTAATTTGATATGATTCCCATTAATTCAGCAGTTTGGGAAGCTGCTGGTGGATTGGGAGCCCTGTGGAGAGCGGAGGGGCAGCTGCTGCTGCCTCTCCCTGAGCTGGGCTGTGCTGCAGCTGTTTGGAGCTTCAAGTTACAATTCAGAGCAGAATTGACTTGGGTTTTTAATATCAGCCCGAGTTGTAAATTCCTCCTGCCTGTTTCTGACCCTGCTCTGTGACAGGGACACTTCTCTGAGGCCCTACTGCAGCAGCACGAGCCAGTGCTGCCCTTGAAGAATTGTTTTTAAAGTTATTTGAGGTTACTTCTTGAAGCAACCTGAACCTACCAAGTGCGAGTATTTATCTTCTCCCTAAAAATAAAGATCTGAAGGCTCTTGTGTGCCAAGTAAACCCTTTCCAGAGTCAGGACTGCCTGATGCCTGACAGGCTGTGACCTGAAGTGGCTGGTGGCACTCCCTGGGGTTGGAATGTGCCTGGCTGGGTTCCTACCAGCGATTCTCCTCAGTGTGGTTCCTTCCATTCCGTGGTACAAGGGAATCCAGGGGTAAGGATGAATTATTTACAGCGCATTTCCTCTGCTCTGGTATGTCTGAGGGAGATCCCCCAGCAGCGACACCTTCAGCACAGCTTCACAAGATGATTTTCACACCAGCTCTGATGCCTGAATGCAGCTTTTAAGCCCCATTTCTAGAGCACAGCTGCCAGCCACTCCTTCACTGGAATCTTTGGTATTTAATATGGAACTCTGGGGCCTCACCTGTGGTTTTGTCCCTCCCAGCAGGTGAGGAAGAGCAGTTCGACATGGACATCTAAGACACCTGCCTGGAGAGTGCTGATCCAGTGAAGCACCAGGTCTTGTCTGGAGGATTCCCACCAGCCAGGCTTACAGCAGCCATGCCTTGAGTGCCTTCCTGCTCTGGGAAAGGCAGATTCCCTCAGGAGAGCAGAGCGTGTCCTGTTCCAGGGGCCGAGCCTCGGGGGGCTGCAGGAGACGCTCTCCCCCCTTGGCTTGGGTTCCAGTTTTATGCTTTTGTTAATCATTTTAATACTGTAACAGTAATGCAATATAAGGGAGAAATAAAAATCACGTAGAGTCTCCTGGTGTGGAGATGAATGCAATAAATGTGGCTTCTGTCCCTTATTCCAGCAAGAAGCTGCTGACCCAAGGCATTAAAGTGGTGTCCCCTGTGCTGCTGGGCCTGGCCCGAGCATCCCTGGTCCCTGGGGGAAGGTTTGGTCTGCCAGATCTGCCCCCAGAACAGAGACAAAAACTGTCCTGAGTGCTGCCAGAAGGTTCTGTCACAGGCTGTGTTCTCTTGCCTGCCTGGCTGCAGGTGGGAATATTTGGGATCAGCTCAGCTGGAGGCTCTTGGAGGGCTCCTGACTGAGCTGCCCTGCCAGGAGGAGGAAGGAGCCTCCTGCTTTGCCACTGCCATTCTTTCTTTCTGCCATGTGCTAGCCTGGCTTTGTGATCCCTGGTGAAATGTCCCCACTGCTTCACCCTTGCTTCTCTTTTTTATCCCTTGGTGGGCAGGGAGAAGAGCTTTGGGGAAGAGGGTTAGAAACAAAGTCTGTCTGGCTTGGAGACCGGAGTTTTTGTCAGAGAAAGTTAATTTTGCTGTGGGGAGGTCTAGTTTGGGTGGCCAGAGCAAATATATTCATTTTTAGCCTCCATGAGGTTTGATAAATGCAGTCTGGACAGTCTGAAAACACATTGCTGTTACTGCTGGGGGGTGGAGGCACCTCACAGGAGCAGAACCCATACGGGGCACAGCCTGAACTTCAGACTTTCCAAACCACAGGGAGTGTCTGTGCAGATCTGCTTTGGCAGATAGCATTTAAATATCTGCTAATGATGCTCAGTGGTGACATTATGATATGCAAACCCCCAGTAATGAGTAACAGAACAAAGCAATTGCTGCAGATAAACCTGCATTTCTCTAAGATAAGATTTAAGGGTTTCTCTGAAACCTTAATGGGAACAAATCCAAATTTATTGCCCTCAGGTGTGACTTTATCAGTCTCAGCTGCACCAGTTAGGTTCTGAGGATGGTTTAGAGGGGAGCTGCTGCATCTGGGACTGACTGCTGTCCCAACCAAAAGGAGGAATTGTCTCTCTGTCGTGGCTTTATGGGGAAGGGTTGGATGGGTGAGCAGCTCTCCTGGACAGGGACCTCAGCAGGACTGGGTGTCACCCTCCCTGACCTGTGTGCTGGCCAGTGTCCCTCTGTGTCACCCAGGACTGTGGTTTTGGTGGCACACACGCTGCTGGTGGCCCTGCCAAGCTGAGGGCTGCACATCCAGGCAGTTTTGGGGAGAAACGACCTTTTCACCTGATTTCAGCCTCGACCAGCCGTGGCTGTTGGAGCAGGAGCCTTGTGGTGTTGGGCTTTGGTGCTGGTACAGAAGTTTGCCGGGTTTTGGGGGTGTCAGGTATTGCAGGTAATGCTCTTAAATGCCATTCCTGCCACCTGTAGGAGAGGTAACACGTGCTGGAGGTGTTAAGTGCTTTGTCTGTGTCCCAGCAGCTTTGCATCGGTATCTGCCGCTTATGCAGATGTGGGAGCATCAAAGCGCCAGGTGCCTCCGACACGGTAATTCAGAGGGAGGGAGGAAAGCCTGTGAAACACCTGGCCAGGTGTGACCAGGTGTCCTGCTGGGTTCTGGTGCAGGGCCCTGGGGCCATGGGCGCATCAGGACCGCTGTGGGGGCAGAGACAGCAGCCATGGGATGAGGTGATGTGCACATCTGCTCTGGGGCAATTTGTCCTAAGCCCTTAAACCTTTCCACCCGTGGTGGTCTCAGCATCCCATTGCTCTGGTCCTTCACCCTTCACTCCCTCCCTTCCCCTCCTTTTGGATCCATCTCCCTCATGCACTCACGTTTACAGCTCTCCAAGCTCTCCCCAGCCCCACAAGGAGCAGCTCAGCATTGTGGGGCACATCCCTGCTTCCCCAGGCTCTGTTCCTCACCCCTCGCTTGCACTCCCAGGCCGAGGAGCTGCTTTTGCACGGGCTGAGCCCAGTTGTGCACAGCGGGAGGGAGGGAGGGAGGCAGTCGTGGGTGGCTGAGGCACAGCTGGGATGCTCCGGGGAGGTCCAGGGACAAGTTGGCTTTGTCGTTGCATTTCCCATCCCGGCCCCTTTTTGTCTCAAGCAGGCAGAGCAGCTCACCCTGTGTCCCTGTGTCCTACTCCGTGTCCCTGTGTCCCAGTCCCGGGACAAACGCCACCTGCCCGACCCAGCTCGTGCTTTAATGCACCATTTGTAGGGACCCCTCGGTCTGTTTGTTCTCACTTTCGATGTGTCCAAAGCAATCTGTGCCTGCTGTCCCCCTGGCCAAACCAGCCCTTCCCAGAGCAGGAAACTGCCGGCTCCCCCAGCCCTGGGATGCTGAAGGGTGGTGGGCAGGACCGGGGCTGTCCCCCCACTTTATTGTCCTCACGTCTGGGCTCCCTGTGCTCCCCAGCCGATGTAGATTAGGGCGGGAGCAGGACCAGAGCTCTCCCTGCTCAGTTCAGGTCCCCCTCAGAGCCCGAGCCTGGCAGAGCCCGGCTGGCCAGCAGATCCTGGCCTAAACCCGACTTTATTGTCATTGTCCACACTTTGATGTTTTCCTTACAGCCCTGGAATCCCAGCCTTTATTTTTCCATCCTGCTCTTCCCAGGGAACGGCTGCTGCCTCCCCCTGCCCCGCCACAACTTTTGAATTCCAGCAGCCGAGAGGAGGGCAGAGATGGCAGAGATACAGCAGCCGGGGGTCCCGGGGGGCGTTGGGGCAGTGAATCCCCTGCTTTGGAACTGTAGCAAAACTGCGGAGAAAGAGGCAAAATACCGTAATTTTCCATCAGCCAGAGCACAGAGGGGCAGGTTCCTGCTTTGCCTCCTGCCGGGGGTCAGCCCCGCGCCCTCAGCCCACCCTTGACAGCTCCTGCAAATGACCCTCTAATGACGGGATGGCCGCAGTGTGAAAGCTGCTGGAATATGGAAGCGGCCCCGCGGAGGGCCCGCTGGCCGGGGGAGCAGCAGACACGCTTTGTTTATCCGCCGCCCGGGATGTGGATTGCGGATAATCAGCCTGGCCGGGGATGTGGAGTGGCCCAGGAGGGGCGGGTAGGGGTGGCCGCTGTCCCAGGGCCACCCGCCGCCAGCCCCGTCCCCTCTGCTGCCTGTCCCCACGCGTGTGTCGTGTCCCCACGCGTGGGGACAGCGTGAGCCTGGGGCTGATCCCGGTTGCCCGGGACGAGCCGCCCCTCCCCGGGGTGCTCGGGAGGACACGGTCACCCCGGGGCGCTCGGGACCCCAACCCCAGCGCTGCTCCGGATCGGTGACCCAAAGGAGCTGCCTGCACCACGCGGCTTAGAATTCCCTGCTCTTACTGGGAATTTCCCTTTATTTACCCCTTATCTCCGAGGGGTAAATAAAAGCGGAAAATACCTTTAGCCTCCCCTTCCACGCCTGCAGGTGCTCCCCTTGCTCTTGAGTAACCCCTCTTCAGGGTGGGAACAGCTTCGTCCTTATGTCACATGAGCTTTGGAGCATCTTTTGCACCCTTGGAGGGACCCCTGGTAGCTTCAGGAGCAGCCAGAGCCCACCTGCTCTCGGAGCAGCTCTGGGTGCAACAGATGGGACACAGAGAAGGGGGCACTCACACCCTGGCACGCCATCAACAGCAAAAATCAGCAGAACTCAATGGGCATTTTTAATAGATATAATTTATTGCAGAATTGTACAGCTGTGACCTTTTCGCAACCACCCCATCCAGCGAGGGGGAAAAGGCTCGAGCAGAGCTGTGGTTACTTGTTTGTAAACGCTGCTCACCTGGATCTGCCAGCTGGGGCTCTGGACATTGGCTAATACATTCACTTGTCTGAGGTGCAATAGAAATCTGACAGTTTTAATAGAAATATAATAGAATTCTGAGGAGAAATGCCTAAACCCCAGGGGAGATTGGAAATCCCAGTGGTGTGTATGCTCAGTGTGGCCAGACACTGGAGGTGCAGAGTCCTGAGAACCTGTGGCTCCTGACGATTCCCACGGCTGGGAATTCCCATTGCCTGAGCCCTGTGGTGGCAGGGAGCAGCGCTGCCATGTCCCTGCACCTCAACCCCTGCCCTGTGCCACACACAGCAGCCCCCAGCTCCTCGGTAAACCCAGCACGGGGCACCCACCGCCCCAGATCTGCCCCTGGTGGCCTTTTCCTGGCGGAGCCTGGATCCAGCCGGGCAGCCGCTCCTCCCGGCCCAGCCGGGGCTGTGCCAGCCCGTGGGCACGGGGCCTTCGGGGACGCTCCTGGGTCCCCGGGGCACCCCTGGGCGCAGACGGGCACCTTCCTGCCGGGGTATGGGTGGCCTCAGTTGCAGCCGCACTCCTCGATGATCATGTCCTCGTGGTGGCGGACGACGATCTCGCCCTTCTCGTAGTAGAGCATGGAGAGGGGGCTCATCTTGACCGGGGAGCAGGCGGGACACGGCACCTGGTTGGGCTTGTAGAGCTGCAGCAAACTCTGTGGGAGACACGGGAAGGGCAGAACACCCCCGTGCTGGGGTGTGGGGGTGCGGGGGATGAGGGGCAGCACCCCTCTTACCTGTATGTAGGCGTGGTTGGTGGGCTTGAAAGTCTCGTCCACGGGCGAGGGGCACAGCCCTTCGCAGCGGTAGGCGTTGTACTTCTTGGGGTACACGATCCAGCTGCCCCAGCCCGTCTGCTCGAAATCCACCACCATGTCCACCCGCCGGCACAGCGCCCTGCCCGGTTCCCGCGGGGCGGCGGCGGCGGTGCCGCTGCTTTTGATCCGCTGCTTCTCCACCCGGTTCCGGCGCTGCCGCCGCGCCCCCGCGCCCTGCGAGCCGCTGTCGCGCATGATGTACTTGGAGGTCTCCGCCGTCCTGATGAGGCTGTGCTCCCCTGGAGACTTGTCCTTGGAGAAGACGAGCAGCAGGACGCTGTCTGCCACGTCCCGGGGCAGGGCTGGGTCACCGTGGCCGGTGTCTCCCGTGGCCGGGGCGGCCGAGCCGCTCACCTCCCACCGCCCCGTTCCCGCGGGGCTCCGGTGCTCAGCGACCGCGGCTTGGTGCAGCCAGGCCCGCAGCAGGTTGGTGACCTCAAAGACTTTCCAGGAGGCCTGGGTGGCAGAGGGGCTGCCAGCCACGGTGCCCAGGAGGAGCCGGTGGGCGCAGGTCCCGTCCCCCCGGCACCTGCGCCGCTGGCTGTGGTAGATGTCCAGGGAGACGTTGTGGGCGCGGGAGAGGCCGGGCAGGCGGACACGGAGCTGAGCCAGACTCACCTCCTGGCTGCTGGACAGGGAGGACATGTCGAAGGAGAGCGCCCAGCGGGAGCCGTTCTGCAGGGAGCCTGAAACCAAGGGCACGGTGAGGGGAGGGGTGCCAGGGGTGCCAGAGCTGGGGGGACGGTGCCCCCGCCTGCTGCCGGGAACCAGCCCCACCGTGGGAGCCTGGGGGTCGGGAGAAAGCAGCTGGATCCACCTGAGAGCCAGCCAGAGCCTCAGGCAGGGCTGGTCCTGCGAGCAGGGATGCCCGGGACAGTGGGAATCCCTGCCAGGGATGCACGGGGACAGGGCAGGTCCCAGCGCAGGGAGGCTCGGGGACAGCGGCAGCCCCGGGAAGAGGGACGGTGCCGATCCCGGGGATAGGGTTGCCCGGGAACGGTGCCGGTCCCGGGGACAGGGATGCTGGGGGACGGTGCCGGTCCCGGGGACAGGGATGCTGGGGGACGGTGCCGGTCCCAGGACAGGGATGCTGGGGGACGGTGCCGGTCCCGGGACAGGGATGCTGGGGGACGGTGCCGGTCCCAGGACAGGGATACCCGCGGCCGCACTCACCGTGTGGGGAGAGGCTGAGAGCGGCGGCGGCGGCGGCGCGGAGCGGGGCGGGAGGGGCGCGGAGCAGCTGCAGCATCAACGGGGGGCAGCGCGGCGGGGCGCGGGCCGGTGCCCAGGTGAGCGCCCCGGCGGACGCTGCGGTCGGTGCCCAGGTGAGTGCCCAGGTCGGGGCGCAGCCCAGGCGGAGCAGGGCTAAGGCGCAGAGCGCCAGCGCGGGCACGGAGCGGAACGGGACCCGCATGTCTGCCCGGGCCACCCGCAGCCGCCCTATTTGTACAGCGGCCCCGAGCGCCGCCCCGGGCGGCCCCGGCACCCCCCTCCCCGACAGCCCCCTCCCCTCTTCTCCCCATCCCTCTTCCCATCGCTCCGTCCCTATCTCTGTCCTCCCTCCCCTCCACCCCCATCTACCTCCCGGCCATCCCTGCCCGTTCCCTCGCCTTCATCCCCCGCCCTGCTCTTTCTCTCTCTCTCCTTCGCCCCATCCTTCCCCCGCTGCCTCCAGCCTTATCCATCATTCCATCCACCATCCACCCACCGCTGCCTCATCCCTGCATTCCTCCTCTTCTCTTTCTGCCCGTCCGTCTCTCCCTCCGGCCCTCCTGGGCTCGTCCCCGCCACCCCTCTCTCCGTCCCTCTGTCCCGTGGCTGGGGCTGGGGGCGGCCACCCCTGCGCCATGCGAGGCCACTGATGTCCCCAAAACCCGGGAGCGCTGGTGATGCGTGTCCCGGCCACTCGCCAGCCCGGTCAGTCCTGCCGCGCTCCGTGGCGAGGGGAGCAGGACCGGGGACACGCGTGGACCCCAATCTCTGTGTGTGGGGGGGCGGTGCCGGCGGGGGGAGGCGACACTCGTCCTTCCCGGAGGGACACACGGGGCGGGGGATGAACCGGGGCCGCTCCCGGTTCATGTCCCGCCGTCCGCCCCGCGCCCAGTCTGCGGCGGGGTGACGTCACTGCCGCGCACGGTGACGTCACGGCAGCGCACGGTGACGTCACACATCCCCGCGCCGCGCTCCCGGCGGCCGCCGGCAGGGGGCGCGCGCGGAGTCTCGCGAGAGCAGCGGCAGCGCGCGGAGATGGCGGCAGCGGGTGAGGCGGCCGAGCCGCCCCCGGAGCCGCCGCCGGTACCACCGGAGCCCCCGGCCCCGCCAGAGCCGCCCGCCGCCGACACCGGGTATGTGCCTCCCTGCGCGGGGCTGGGGGCCCCCACGGGCTCCGCGGGGCCCGGCCCCGCTACCATGGGAACGCCGATGGGCTCCCGGGCCGGGCCTCCCTCGGGCCGGGTCTCCCTCAGGCCGATCCCGCCGGGCCCCGCCGCGCGGGTCCCCCCGGTGCGGGCCCGGCCCTGACCCCGCTGCGGGCCCGGCCCTGACCCCGCTGCGGGCCCGGCCCTGACCCCGCTGCGGGCCCGGCCCTGACCGCTGTGCCCCGCAGGGACGCCGCCGCGGCGGATGGCAGCGCGGCGCTGGAGACCGAGCCGGCGCACGGCAAGGAGCCGCTGGTAGGTGCCGCTCGGGGCCCCGGGGCGTCCTCAGCGCCAGCCGCGCTGCCCTACGGGAGACTGTGCGGGTGAAATCGGCAGCCGGGTGGCAAACCCTCACCGCGAGCGTACAAAACGGCTCCAGCCCGCTCGCAGCGCGGCCGTGCCTTGGGGGAAGGATGTATTCCCTCTGAAGCGCCCTGGAGGCAGATTCCTGCCTGCCCCCGGCACTGTTGGATTCCTGGCTCGGCACTGTTGGATTCCTGGCTCGGCCGTGCCTTTGGGGAAGGATTTATTCCCTCTGCAGTGCCCTGGTGGCAGATTCCTGCCCAGGCCCCTGCGCTGCCTGCCCTGCCCCCGGCACTGTTGGATTCCTGGCTCGGCCGTGCGCTGGGGGAAGGATTCATTCCCTCTGAAGTGCCCTGGTGGCAGATTCCTGCCTGCCCCACTGTTGGATTCCTGGCTCGGCCGTGCGCTGGGGGAAGGATTCATTCCCTCTGCAGTGCCCTGGAGGCAGATTCCTGCCTGCCCCCGGCATCTGTTGGATTCCTGGCTCGGCCGTGCGTTGGGGGAAGGATTTATTCCCCATGAAGTGCCCTGGTGGCAGATTCCTGCCTGCCCCGGGCGCTGTTGCATCCCTGCGGTTGCAGGACGCTGCCGGGGACGGTGCCGAAGCCATGGATGCCCAGGGGGGCTCGGGGGACGAGGAGAACACGCGGCAGCTGGGCGAGATCGAGCTGCAGTGCGGCATCTGCACCAAGTGGTTCACAGCTGACACCTTCGGCATCGACACCACGTAGGTGATGGCTGGCAGGGCCAGCAGGGGCCTTTGGGAGCCAAAGTGGAGTGTTTGGAGTCCAAGTGCCCCAGGACCTGCCCATGGCCTTGAGCACTTGGGAACTGTTGTGTTGTGTAAATAAAGCTTTGTCTGTGATAAAGGCACCCCCCCGTGAAATACCACTGAGCCTGTTAGATGTTTGTGGTTTTAGGGAGGGAGGGAATACTTTGCTTTTAACCTGGAACAATTAGTTTCTTAACCCACTGTAGTAAAGAATAGTTAATTTTCTTTCACTCCAGGAAGAGCATTGAGGGACTGGAGTGTGTCCAGGGCTGGGAAGGGTCTGGAGCCCCAGGAGGGGCTGAGGGAGCTGGGGAGGGGCTCAGCCTGGAGAAGAGGAGGCTCAGGGGGCCCTTGTGGCTCTGCACAGCTCCTGACAAGAGGGGACAGCCAGGGGTCAGGCTCTGTTCCCAGGGACAGGACAAGGAGAGGTGTCCAGGGAAGGGCTGGAGGTGGCACTCAGCACTCTGGGATGGGGATTGGGCACAGACTGGATTCCATGGTCTCCAGAGTGCCTTTCCAACCTCACAGATTCTGGGATTCTTGAACCTGATATGATAATTACTGTACCCAGCCCTAACAAAGCTGCTTTTTCCTAGGTCGTGTCTGCCCTTCATGACCAACTACAGCTTCCACTGCAACGTGTGCCACCACAGCGGGAACACCTACTTCCTGAGGAAACAAGCGAGTGAGTTTGGGAGCAGCTCCTGGGGAGATGTTTTGTGTGAGCTCATCCTGGAGCGTTGGCTTTGTCTGAAGTCATTGGGTGGCTGTGCTGAGACTTCTGGAAAATGAGCCAAAACCCCATATTTACAGCCATGTGTGGCTTCTTCTAAAAATGTTTTGCTACTGATTATGGTGTAGCTGGTTCAGTGAGGGCTGAGTCAGGAGAGAATTTGGGAGGTTTTGATCGCTGTGTACACGGCTGTGTGATCTTCCCTCCAAGTGTGACTGTAGCCCTGGGGTGTTTTGTTTCTCAGATCTGAAGGAAATGTGCCTTAGTGCTCTGGCCAACCTCACGTGGCAGTCGAGGACACAGGACGAGCACCCCAAAACGATGTTCTCCAAGGATAAGGTCTGACTCTTCGGGAACCGCCGCGGGTTCACGTCACTGCTGGTGTCAGCAAGAGGAGGAGCTCACACAAGTGTTTTCTGTTCCTACAGGATATTATCCCCTTTATTGATAAATACTGGGAGTGTATGACAACACGGCAGAGGCCTGGGAAAATGACTTGGCCCAATAATATTGTCAAAACCATGGTAAGGATTGAGGGTAAATCCTGGGAAGAATTCCCACAAGTTTGGGTTTCTGATATCTCTGTGTGCTGAGGGCTGGGCTTGGAGCTACAGGGTGAAGATGCTGATGCTTCTTAGGCAACTGATGTACCTAACACATATTAATAGGAACTACTGGCATTTAAACACTCGTTAATGAATTTGTTATGATCTTACCCTGTGTAACTAAAACTTCTCTGTTTTAGTGTAAAGAAAGAGACGTGTTCCTGGTGAAAGAGCATCCAGACCCAGGCAGTAAAGACCCAGAGGAAGATTACCCCAAATTTGGGCTTCTAGACCAGGTATGTGATGGGAGACAGGAGGAAGGTGGGAGTGACAGGGGGTGGGGGGTCCCTCTGGTACCTTTCTGCTCATGAAGGGGCAGATCTCTGCTGTGAGCCCGTGCTGTGCCTGCAGTGGGTGGGAGCCCCAGCACGAGGAGTGCCCTGCTCAGGCTCGGGGTGTTCCCTTTGACCAAGTCTGTACAGCAGAGCACTTCATCTCCTGCAGGATCTTGCCAATATTGGTCCAGCCTATGACAACCAGAAACAGAACAACGCCGTGTCCACGAGTGGAAGCTTAAATGGCAAGTTCTTTACTCAGGAGGGGTTTGGGGATTTGGGACTAAGCTGCATTTCACAGTTGTCTGGGCATCTGTGCAGTTAAACTGTCCTGTGAACTGAGCTTATGCTTATGCTCAGAACAGTCTCACTGTGCCTTTTTATAGAAAGATTAACTTTGTGTCTTGGGGAGGTTCAGCCCTTTCTTTACCGTGACCAGATAAATCAAGATGCTTGCTGAAGGCTGAGCTTGTCACTCTGCTCCTGGAATGGTTTTAAATTATCTCCTTGAGTTACTCAGATTTCCTGTTTCCCATCTTGCTGAGGTACTCAGGGCATCCTTGCTGCAGTAAATGAGCTGTTAATGGGGTTTATATATTAATAATCTTTATTAAACTCATCCCAGTAGTACAGGCAGGAGGTATTTGGGTCTTTTTAAGGCAGAATAGATATCTCAGGTGTGTTGTTTCCATGTCATGCGCTGGTTGTTTTTATTTGGTTTCTGGGAGGCTGACAAACATGTGGTGCCACTTCTGTTCTTGCAGGTGGAGCCTCTGTGGGAGGTGAATATTTACCTTTCAGCTTCTAAAACTTAAGTATTGCTGTTTGCAAAGCTTTTCTTGCTCGAGTCTCTTAGATGCCAAAGTCAATCAAAACTGGAAGCGTGCTCTGATGTGATTGCAGTTGGACCTCAGTACAAACCAGCAATTCCAGTCTTTAATCTTAGTACTTAGAAGCTTTTAATTGCCATATTCTGCCTTACTTGACTGATTTAAAGGTTTTGTTTATTTATTTTATGCTTACATTTATTTTTTCTGTATCAGTTGACCTGATGTTGTAGTTTTAATGCATAAACAATTGGTCTGAAATTTACAGTGCAATGGTTTGTTGGAGAGTAATTGTTTTTTTTGGCTAGTAATTGTTGACAAACTGGAGAGCCTGAATGTTTGTCTGCACTGAAATCAGGGAGTGCAGCTGGATGAGGTCATGTTTGTGCAGAATATGGCATTCCCTGGATGGTTTGGACCCCTTACACTGTAAGGGAGTGGAGTGCTGGTAATGGAAGAGCTGACTGGATTTTTAGTTACCACACGAATGGTTTGTGAAGGTGTTTATCTACAGTACATGAAATTCCCATCGTTTTCCTTATAAATCAGCAGTGT